TTTAGCGGGCGTATACCTTGATTTATGGGTTCGTGAAGCTTTGTAAATATATTCACATTTTCGAAACACGGTAAATTTTTACCGTTTTAAACAGGTCGGTTCATAATCTGTAGTTATTAAGCTTCCAGTAAATATACGGTTTATATGGGTTTTTGTTAAAGCCACCAATGCTAGAGCGGACCGTGTGCGGATGGTCGAATGGGTTATACTGATACCTTAACCACATGAATCATGGACAGTGACTCTTTGTATGTTCATTGTTTCTTGGTGAGCCTTTGTGATTATTTGGCATAGACCAAGTTCAGATTCGCATCAAAAAAATGTATGTATGCATCATCATATATCACCTTATCCTCCACAGTTACACGAGCCTGTGGAAGCCAAGCTTGCCTTTACACACTTACAATGACCTGTGTGTGCAGTCCTGCAGTTGCAGCGGATGAGTTCGTAGCATGTGTCCTTCATCTGTGGCAGTGTCGTCCAGATTGGAGTTCAAAACTTGTCATTATGTTGCCATCCCCATTCAGAGGGGCTTGGAAGAACTGATTGTGTCATAAGAGTTTGGGCCCAAATGTGCCCACCTTGATACACTGAACACTTGGTGTGCTGTAGGAGTGCCCCTTGGTTCGGAGGAATTTTTTCCAGGGTCCTAAACTTCTTAGAGAAGAGTTCTTGTCTTGCTTCATTAACCTTTGTGATTACTTGTGCAGTTGTATGGAAAATGGCAAAACATTCAATCATTCCTCCCCACCCTTGTATTGCCAATCGACACATACACCACGACTTTGAGGCACAGTGGACACACATCTTTTCTTTTATATTGTGGTATCTAGGTCGCGGACTAGTGACCTATGCACCAGTATTGCTCATATCAGTCTATGAAGGGTTCAGAGATCGACATCTCCCCTCAGATAAGTAACCCTCTGCGGAAATAATTTCTATGGTTAAAAATAGCCATGTTCAGCATGAAAACACCACTATTATTTCGTAAAATCTCGGCATTTTTTGCATTGTACGATACCAAATTCAACATCAATGAATCAAAGCTGTAGAAAGAAGAAGCCGTATATGCCTACAGCAAACACAAAGCCATTGCCAGCATTTTTTATGAACAAATTAATCCAGCTAAATCCCTGAGGCAAGTCTCTTCAGTGAAACATACTAGTTTTCTAGTAGAAATACACTTAAGCACTGCCTAAGGCACCAAAATAAAATGTAAAAAAGAGATTGATTAGTAAGTCAACAAAAAAACTTTCAGTGTCCCTTGATGTTGACAGAAAATAGTTTTTCATTCAAACAAAGACGTTTTCACTCAACTAAAACTATTTTTCATTCACCCAAATGAAAAAAAATATATTCGCCAGCTTTACAAATTCAACTCTGTGCCTGTGTCAAAACTGACGTGGAGAAGCCAAATTGTTTTTCATTCACCTTGTTTTTAATTTTACTTGCTTCTCTTCAAAATGAGTTTTTGTGGTCAGGCTAACTTAGGCAAGATGCTGTTCAATGTTCAAGGTGTCAAACATGACCTTTGAGGCTTCAGTGATTGAAAATGATAAGCGGCCAGTAAATAAAGGTTTTATTTACAGTATTTTACAGACAATGCTTTCAGGACTTTGAGAACTGACCACCTATAGGGGTTTGACTATGCCTTGGCTGTGTGTACAGACCTCACTGCCTTTGGTATGTACTCACAACCTCGATCAAGATTCTCCCATACAGACCTCCTGCTTGGTTAATACCCTAAGAGCTTAATATGTTCCAGCCGGCCTGTTAGTTAGAATTATCCGCCATGTTTTAGACAATTGCTGAGTAGTTTTCTCATGGGTTCAACAGTCCTCAGCAGTAAACTAAGAGCCAAGAAATAACCTGTGTGGACACATACACTGCTACATTATGAAGAACTTGAAATCACTTCTCTTTTGACCTTTCTCTCTATGATGATAAAGTTGCTAGAGGAATAGTGAGGAGTATGCTGAAGACCGATCTTTCTGGAAACAATTATTTTTGTCAGTGTCCTCCACAGTGAATGGAGATTATGGCTCTTTTACTTCAAACTCCAGTCATTTCTCCCTCCCTTAGGCATTTCACAGGCTTTGACATTTTGTTTTCATAAGGTTGCAAATGTTCCACTGTGGGGTAGCTGGTGCATTCAAACTCCCCACAGTGGAGCTGTGAGAAAACTGTAAATGCACCCCCATGGGATGGTGTCTAAAATATACTTTCTCATAAGTAATAGTATTATATGGCAAAATTGGCCACTAATATGACATAAAAAGGCGTCTTATTTGGTAGATAGCTTGTTATAGTTTGGTTATGATTTGATTATATCTCCTTCATCAACGATCATCTCAGAAGAAATGTACCTTCTTTCATAAATTGCAGGCCATTAAATTCTCTACCAAGACACTGAGCTATGTGCATTTACTTATTGGTTATAGTTTGCATGAGAAACCATAGGGTCAGCATAAACAAATATCAGCTGCATTCAAACAAGATGTGATGAAGATACATTGTGTACATGTATGATGTCACAAGACTGTACGTAGAGAACCAGAGTTGAGGTGGCCTCTCTTGGCCGTTTGGCATAGTGTCCTGAAATGTTACATTCTTAGGGTTACTTGGTGTCAAGGTTCTTAGTCACTGCAGTTCCATGATTAACTTGTAATGATGTTCAAAGCTTAAACAAAACAACCTTTTGAACAGTTTTAATAAGCATTTAAATTTAATTTCAGAGCTCTGATGCTTACAGTATTATTCCAAACCATAAATAAATCAAACAATGGTTTGCAAAAGAAGAATCTTTTAGTGGGTTTTTCTTGTAAAATGAATGCTGCCATCTGAACCTCTTAAAACAAACAGTTGATACTGTATGGCTGATTTGACATAGGAATTTCTTGAACTCTCAAATACTTGCTAAGGCAGAGAAATTAAGTGCTGTTGAAAGTCAAAAAAATTGAGGTCACCAGTACAATTGCTTAATCATCCCAGTATTTGACTATGGTGACATAGTGTCGGGTCATAAAAATAATGACACGCTTATGGGTCTGCTGCGAGTTCCTCAAAACAAGGCAGCCAAGGTCCTGCTTAATTTACCACCAAGAAGTTCATCAACTGAAGCACTAGATCGTTTGGACCTAAAGACCCTCTCAAAGAGATGACACTTCCTTTGCTGTGTTATGATGCAAAAATATCTGTTGGGAAATCGATTTTAAATTTGATGTTAGACGCAATTATAGTAGTTTTCACTCTTATCAAACTTGGAGAAGCAATGATTTACACCTTCTTGGTGTGTGTACCAATTGGGGCAAGCAAACTTTCATTTTTCAAGCCTCTAAGGACTGAAACAACCTAGACAATGACATTAAAAACAGCAAATCATTGTCCTTCTTTAAGGCAAAGCTTAAAACTTTGTAAATAGTGCCCTGTCTAATTGTTAAATTATCTTAAAATTAGTTTATTCATATTGTAATATCAATTTTTTTTTATCTCTTTTCTTGTTTTTAATTTTTATTATGATTTGAAGGGCCCGACCGAAAACCGCCAAGGCGAGTGGGCCCCCTGGAAAAATATTTTGATTATTATTGTTAGTTTGGAATGACCCCCAAGCTAGAAACTTTCAGTTCATAACCCCTCCCATCCAGATTTCCAGGATTGTCAACTCTCCTCCTGGAAGAATTTCCATCATGCCTTACATCAGGAGAGTGTGGATTACTTCTGAAATAAGTCAACACCCCCAAAATGGCTGAAATTATGGCTGTTAATTAGAGGTTGGGAAAGGCAGAAATTTCTTCTGGTGCCATATGGGAATTTTCACTATATTGGAATGGATGGATTACAGCCAAAAAGAACAACAGGAAAGGTTTCAGTTGATGTCACCACTTTCTGTTACCACTCCCCTGTTCTGCTCTCACACTAATTTTCCACCCTTTTTCACCCCTACCATTATCACTCCACAGACAACCTGTACTGATTTAAGTTACTTTAATTTGCTTTACACATCCGTTATTTTGTTCCTTTCATATTTGTCAGTTTCTTTGTTTTTCAATCTTCAAATGGACAGCTGATACACTGTTAACATCATCACTTCTACATGTGTTGTGCGCTGTTTATTTAAGGACATAGTTGGGATGATAAGATGTTGCATCAGGTGGGAAGTTTGGTATAATTGTACCAGAAGCAAGTTTTTAATACTCTTTATTTCCTTTTCAATGTAGTGCTATCAGAAGCAGATTCCCCAAGGTTAATTCTCTGGTAAGGAAAATGTTTCTTTATCTTAACTAACTACTATAGTTCGACTGGAATGTTGTGGTAATTTCTTTCATTTTTAACAAGTGATAACTAGCATAGCATAGCTAGACTAAATTATAGCAGTTAGTTGGGGAAGAAATAATTCACTTGCTCAGTCCGTCAGTCAGTCAAAGGGTTATAAACAATTTTTGGGTGGTAATTCCACTGACCAGGGTATTTTGTGAGAGGACACAATGGCTACCAAAGCGATAACCTGATCTTTCACATTTGGAGTTGAACAACTGCTCCCAAATGGATGACTATTTAGTCTGCAAATTGGTTATAAAATTTGATCCATCAATAGCTTTGCCATCAGTTTTTACCCAAAACTTTTCCAAAAATTACCTGCGAGGGTTTCACACGAGATGTGTACTTCTTCCACGAAGAATTATTTCAAATTTCCATATCGTCTCATTTTTTTTTATAATTACTCTTATGTTTATCGCTTGCACATTTTTATTTCCTTTATAAAAGAAAACCATCCGTTAGTACATGTAGGTGGAAGGAAAAGAAAATAAAAAGCTGCTCTTAGCAGGACTTGAACTGCCAACCCTGCAATACAACTTCCAACTCCTAGACTGAAACGTAACCATTGCGCTACCATATCATTTTAACTTTTTATTAGGGAATACAGCTATTAATTCATCACAGTTTGGTTGAAACCGCTGATTGATGATTACCACGGGCTTAAGGAGGCTCCCTAGAGTTTTAAGACCACACACAAGCTGGGCACTAGTATAGCACAAGATTTTAAATCCATGCAACCTCCATGCAAAAATATAAACAAACATGGCTTCCCTGTTTTGTGACATTATCCAGATAATTCACAAAATTGCTGGAACCTCAAAATGCAAGTTTTTTGGGTTGCATGGGCCGCTGTTTTGGTAAAAGAGAAAGTGTTACAAGAGTTGCTAGTTTATTTTCGACAGAAAGTGTTGATTGTCAAAAGCATTAATTTTATCGTAAACATCACATAAAGTTCCGTACGTGTTCTCAGTGTTTGGATCAGTAAGTTTGGCTGCAGCTAACTCAAATGATAAAGAAGGAGGTGATTCACTGTCTTCATCACTTGTCAGTCAGAGCCTTTCTCGCTCTCGCTCTCGCTCTCCCTCTCCCTCTCATCCCAAAAAGCGTAGCGCAAACGGGCACTTCATGAAACCCGGGACAAAGGGAACTCCAAAAAATCTGGACCAAATGAGATGTAGATATTGAAAATACATGGCTAAAAGGAAACTGGAGTTAGAAAATTGTACTGACAAAAAGGAACCACCCTCTAAACAAGAAAGAAGGAGTACTCAGGTATGGGCACTTAAGAATTCTATATCACTACTCATAGATGCAATTATTGGAAGCAGCCATTTTTGTGCTATATAACAGGCTGCCACTGAAAGAGAAGCTATTCACTGTGGATCTCATTTCATTGACCTCGATGTATTTCAGGAAAGGTTCCAAAGCTGCACTCACTGCCAGTCAAGTAAATGTAATCCAACAATTCTTCCCTGAACTATCAGGAATGGACTTTTCTATTTGCTCCACAAAATGTATACCTACTTTCTTGTATGCCCTTTTGAATCGACACATTGTAAACCCAAAAATTGTTCACAATCAAACTCTGCTCATTTTTGCTAGACTGTTTACTAGTGAAAGAAAGTTGATAGTATTAAAGTACTGCATGCAGTGATTAAGACATGGCTGTGCAAAAATTTGAAATATTTTTTTATTCATTTACATTTTTTTAAAAATAGTGGTCTCTTTATTTTTCCTATTTTTGTTGGAAAACCCTCTAAAAGCACTTTTTTAAATACCATACTCGAGCAAATTACAAGATCAGTGATATAGCAACATGTAGGTCATTTTAAAAGAACATATACTTTTTCTGCCACAATACTTCAAATATCCTTAATATGCTTTATTTACACAAAGCTCTTTTCATTTCGGCAGAACAGCGGAATGGCAGAATCACAGAATGGCGGAAAATGACCCCAAATCCTAAAAGACAGAATCGTGGAACGGTGGAAGGGCTGAAAATCCCCCAAAATCCTATAAGACGGAATGACGGAAAATCCCCCGAAATCCTAAAAGACGAAATGACGTAAAATCATCAGAAGTCCCGGCATCACAATATAGAATGCAAGTAAGCAACATGTTCATGGTAAATTTCATATCTTGTCCCTCCAAAGCAAATTCGTGGAGATTTAAAAGCATATCTTGCAATAGAAACGAGCCTAAACACTGCATTAACACATGGCAAATTACAGAGGTGTCAAACTCTACGAAGCGACGTGCAGATAACAGCGGAAACCATGCAGACCTATGACCTATAAAAATTTGCCATATCACGATCTAACAGCTCAACTCTACTTAAAAGTCCTCCTCATTACACAACATGAAGTGCCCTTCATAAACACTAGTGAAGCGACAAAAAAGGTCAAGTGACCAAACAGAGAACGGCAAATGTACAAATGTCATGAACCGTAGAAGTCGTGTAGGCTAGTCAACCTCATTTTACACTGATATGCAATTCCCACTGAATTGAAATTTATTTCAAGGAGATTACTTGCTTTTTGAACAATACAGCGAATTCACAACTTTCTGTCTCTTAGGATTTGGGGTGATTTTGTGCCGATCTGTGGCTTTTAAGATTTACCTTGCTTTTTCTGCACAGTTTGACGGAGTGATGGCATGACAAAACCTTTCACATGGAAATTTTTGATTTTGTCACTTTGTTCAACTGTAATATGCAAAAGCTACACGAGAATTGGTAGTAGAAATCTAAAGGATATCAAATTGTTAACAACAACAAAAGAAATTATTATTTTACGCGGGGAGGGGGGTTTCACAAACCTGTGCCATATTGGGTGATTTTCCACCATCCGTCTTTTAGGAATTCGGGTGATTTTCTGTCATTCCGTCTTTTAGGATTTCGGGGGATTTTTCATCATTCCATCTTTAAGGATTTCAGGGGATTTTCCGCCATTCTGCGATTCCGTCTTTTAGGATTTGGGATCATTTCCTGCCACTCCGTGATTCCACCATTCCACTGTTCTGCTGTTCCACCATTCCACCATTCGTCATTCCGTCTTTTAGGGTCGCCCTTCATTTCACAATGTGACTGATGAAGTATGGCATTGTCTAGCCAGCACTTTTGTGATAAAATGTCCATTCTGTGGTAAAAACAACAAAGTCAAAACTTCTGGACAACACCAAAGTGGACATTGAGGTTGACCTGCTTTTGACATAAACATGCGAGAAGAAACGTTGGAAAAGACACTAAAATTCTCACAATAGAAGTTTACACATTTTTTTGTTGTGGGGACTGATTGAAATGCAGTGGTTACAGTACTCAGTCCCTAAATCTCTACCAAATGAAATCTCACAAAAATACCAAAATAGTATACCAATGTGAGAAGTTGGTAAGTTTTGTTTTCTAACTTGTCCTCAAAGATACATTTAGCCATCTTCACTTTTGTATGGAGTCTCCTCCTGCTGGAAGGGTTTGCAATAAGCAAAATCACTCTCGCATGAATGGTAATAATTATGATATTTTTTTGGGCTGATCATGAATACTTGCATAGGCTTCTAATAATAATTTTATTATTCATTTGCAATGTGATTTGTTCTTCTTCTCCACTGAGATTGTGGACTACAGGAGCTGTTATTGGGTTCCATTAATTAATTTTGCTATGATTAAATTATACCAAGAATTTTAAGTACGCTAAGAGTAAGTTATATTATGTACATGTATTTTGTCTGCACTACACAACCAAATGCACTCAAAGGTTATGAGGCATAGGTACATTTGTCAGAAGAGCC